AGTAATTTTCTGGTGGAGTCTTTAGGGTTTTCTTTGTAGAGGATCATGTCATCTGCAAACAGTGATAGTTTTACTTCTTTTTTTCCAATCTGGATTCCATTTATCTCTTTTTCTACTCTGATTGCTGTGGCCAAAACTTCCAAAATTATGTTGAGTAGTAGTGGTGAGAGTGGTCACCCTTGTTTGGTTCCTGACTTTAGGGGAAATGCTTTCAATTTTTTCACAATTGAGGATAATGACCAAGTGGGCTTTATCCCAGGGATGTAAGGATTCTTCAATATCTGCAAATCAATCAATGTAATACAGCACATTAACAAATTGAAAGATAAAAACCATCTGATTATCTCAACAGATGCAGAGAAAGCCTTTGACAAAATTCAACATCCATTTATGATAAAAACCCTCCAGGAAGCAGGAATAGAAGGAACATACCTCAACATAATAAAAGCTATATATGACAAACCCATAGACAGCATATTTTTTAAAGCAGAGACATTACTTTGCCAGCAAAGGTCCATCTAGTCAAAGCTATGGTTTTTCTAGTAGTCATGTATGGATGAGAGAGTTGGACTATAAGGAAAGCTTAGCACTGAAGAATTGATCCTTTCAAGTTGTGGTGTTGGAGAAGATTCTTGAGAGTCCCTTGGACTGCAAGGAGATCCAACCAGTCCATCATAAACGAAATCAGTTCTGAATATTCATTGGGAGGACTGATGCTGAAACTTAAACCAATACTTTCACCACCTGATGCAAAACACTGACTCGTTTGAAAAGACCTTGATGCTGGGAAAGATTGAAGGCAGGAGGAGAAGGGGACAACAGAGGATGAGATGGTTGGATGGCATCACTGACTCAATGGACATGAGTTTGAGTAAACTCTGGGAGTTGGTGATGGACAGCAAGGCCTGGTGTGCTGCAGTCTATGGGGTCACAAAGAGTCAGACACGACTCAGCAACTGAACTGAACTGAACTGAACTCTGTATATAAGTTAAATAAGAAGGGTGACAATATATAGACTCAACATACTCCTTTTCCATTTTGGAATAAGTCTGTTGTTCCATGTCCAGTTCTAACTGTTGCTTCTTGACCTGCATACAGATTTCTCAGGAGACAGATAAGGTGGTCTGGCATTTCCATCTCTTTCAGAATTTTCCTCAGTTTGTTGTGATCCACACAGTCAAAGGCTTTGGTGTAGTCAATAAAGAAGTAGTTGTTATTCTGGAACTCTCTTGCTTTTTCTATGATCCAACGGATGTTGGCAATTTGATGTCTGGTTCCTCTGCCTTTTCTAAATCTCCCGTGAACATCTGGATGTTCTTAGTTCATGTACTGTTGGAGCCCGGCTTGGAGAATTTTGAGCATTACTTTACTAGCGTGTGAGATGAGTGAAATTGTGCAGTAGTTTGAACACTCTTTGGCATTGCCTTTCTTTGGGATTGGGATGAAAACTAACCTTTCCAGTCCTGTGGCCACTGCTGAGTTTTCCAAACTTGCTGGCCTATTGAGTGCAGCACTTTCACAGCATCATCTTTTAGGATTTGAAATAGCTCAACTGGAATTCCATCACCTCAACTAGCTTTGTGTGTTGTGATGCTTCCTACAGTCCCCTTGACCTCACATTCCAGGGTGTTTGGCTCTAGGTGAGTGATCACACCATCATGGTCACCTGGGTCATTAAGATCTTTTTTGGATAGTTCTGTGCATTCTTGCCACCTCTTCTTACTTCTGTTAGGTCCATACTATTTTTGTCCTTTATTGTGACCCTCTTTGCATAAATGTTCCCTTGATACCTCTAATTTTCTTGAAGAGATGTCTAGTCTTTCCTATTCTATTATTTTCCTCTATTTCTTTGCACTGATCATTGAGGAAGTCTTTCTTGTCTCTCCTTGCTATTCTTTGGCACCCTGCATTCAGATGGGTATATCTTTCCTTTTCTCCTGTGCCTTTCACTTCTCCTCTTTTCTCAGCTATTTGTTAGGCTTCCTCAGACAACCATTTTGCCTTTTTATATCTCCTTTTCTTGGGGATGGTCTTGATCACTGCCTCCTGCACAATGTCATGAACCTCCATCCATTGTTCTTTAAGCACTCTGTCTATCAAATTTTATCCCTTGAATCTATTTGTCACTTCCACTGTATAACGGTAAGGGATTTGATTTAGGTCATACCTGAATGGTCTAGTGGTTTTTCCTACTTTCTTCAATTTAAGTCTGAATTTGACAATAAGGAGTTCATGATCTGAGCCACAGTCAGTTCCTGGTCTTGTTTTTGATGAGTGTATAGGGTCTCTCCATCTCTAGCTACAAAGAATATAATCAATCTGATTTCGGTATTGACCATCTGGTGATGGCCATGTGTGGAGTCATCTCTTGTGTTGTGGAAGAGTGTGTTTGCTATAACCAGTGCATTCTCTTGGCAAAACTCTGTTAGACTCTGCCCTGCTTTATTTTGTCCTCTAAGGCTAAACTTGCCTGTGACCCAGGTGTCTTTTGACTTCCTACTTTTGCATTCAAGTCCCCAAAGATGAAAAGGATATCTTCTTTTGATGTTAGTTCTAGAAAGCCTTGTAGGTCTTCAAGAACCGTTCAACTTCAGCTTCTTCAGCATTAGTGGTTGGGGCATAGACTTGGACTATTGTGATATTGAATGGAAACAAACAGAGATCATTTTGTCATGTTTGGAGATGCACCCAAGTACTGCTTTTTTGGACTCTCTTGTTGACTATGAGGGCTATTCCATTTCTTCTAAGGGATTCTTGCCCACAGTAGTAGATACTCAATAGCTATGTGTAAATCAATAAAGTTAGAACACACCCTCTCATTGAACACAAAAATAAACTCAAAATATCTTAAAGACTTAAACATAAAATACAATAGCATAAAAGTCCTAGAAAAGAACACAAGGAAAACATACTCTGACATAAGTCATACCAATGTTTTCTTAGGTCAGTTTCCTAAGGTGATAGAAATAAAAACAGAGAAATGGGATCTAATCAAATGTATAAGGTTGTACAGCAAAGGAAACCATAAACACAATGAAAAGACCACCTACAGAATTGGAGAAAATATTTGCAAATGATGAGACCAACAAGGGGTTAAATTTCTAAAATACATAAATAGCTCATACAACTCAACACACACACACACACACACACACACACAAACCAGCCTAATTGAAAAATGGGCAGGAGGCCTAAATAGACCTTTTATCAAAAAGGACATAGACAGTCAACAGGCACATGAAAAGATGCTTAACACCACTAATTATTACAGAAATGCAAATTAAAATTACCATGAGACATCATCTCACACCAGTCTGAAAGGCCATCTTTAAAATGTCTACATATAACAAATACTGGAGAGAATGTGAAGAAAAGGGAATCCTCTGTCACTGTTGGTGGGAATGTAAATTCGTGCAGCCACTAAGAAACATAGTATGATGATTCCTCAGAAAACTAAAAGTAGAATTACCATATGATCCAGCCATCCCACTCCTGGGCATATATCCAGATAAACCTATAATTCAAAAAGATACATGCACCCCTATTTTCTTAGCAGCACTATTCACAACAGCCAAGACCTGGAAACAAACTAAATGTCCACTGGCAGATGAATGGATAAAGAAGATGCAATACATAGATACAGTGGAATCCTACCCAGTCACAAAAAAGAATGAACTAATGTCATTTGCAGCAACATTGATGGACCTAGAGATTATCATACTAAATGAAGTCAGAAAGGCAAATATTAATGCCATATGATATCACTTACATGTGGAGTCTAAAAATATGACCCAAATAAGCCTATCTACGAAACAGAAACAGAATTACAGATAGAGATCAAACTGATGGTTGCCAAATGGGAAGGGGTTGAGGGAGGGATGGAGTGGAAGTTTGGGGTTAGCAGATGTAAGCTTTTATATATAGGATGGATAAACAACAAGGTCCTGGTGTATAGCACAGAGAACTATATTCAATATCCTATGATAAACTATAATGGAAAAGAATAATAGAATGTGTGTGTATATACACCTGTGGATAACTAAATTATTTCACTATACAGAAATAATTAACACAACATTGTAAATCTTATACTTCAACAAAATTCATTTTGTAAATCTTATACTTCAATAAAATACATTTTTAAAAAGTGAGAACAAACATAAGCACAGCACATAGTAAGGAAACCATTTGGGTATCCGCCTAAGGACTCATAGGAACATACCATGTTCAAGAGAGGCTTGTGTGGCAGCAAAAACAGCATGCAGTAGGAGTTTATTTTACTGTTAATGATATGTGTGTTAGTTGATTGGTCATATCCAACTCCTTGTGACCCCATGAACTGTATCCTGCCAGGTTCCTCTGTCCATAGAATTCTCTGGCAAGAATACTGGAGTGGGTTGCCATTCCCCTCTCCAGGGGATCTTCCTGACCTAGGGATCGAACTCAGGTCTCCCACATTGGACTCAGATTCTTTACCATTTGAGCCACCAGGGAAGCCCTGTTGTGATAGCAGCTAATAAGTTTGTATATACTGTGTTGACTGTACAGCGGTAAAACACAAAGATAGTCTGAATCCTCATAGAGTCAGCTAGCCAAGAATCAGAAGGAGACCCTAAAAGGAAAACAAGCTCTGGAGGTGCTGCAGGAAGAGATGAGCTCTACAGTGTAGAATTTGTTCCAGTAATTGGTGTTTGGAGGAGTTTACCATTCCTTTTGAGAAGGGATTAGAGATTCAAAACAATTACACCTGTGTTGAACATACTGTAATATGTCATTGTGCTATTGAATTGTTTAGTAAACCCATCCATGGATGATTCATGGTTTTATTTTCATATATCTCATATAACTCCTTTTATTATTTCTCTAGTACCAAGGTTAAAAACCACTTGAGGTCTTGCACAGAGGTATTATATGATGAGCTGATTCAGAAACATCTATCACAATCCTGTGCCTGGATAGAGGACTGAACTGAATCACAGGGTCATTTTCCAAATCTTATTCATTTATACTGAGAGGATTCAAGAGTTATTCCTATATCTTCACAATAGTCATTTCCAACTGATTTCCTCTTCTCTTGCTTCCCTGTTCTTCCACTGGGGTCTTCAACAGGCCAAAGTTGTGATGGTACTATGCTGTTTGGAAGTGGAGAGAGAGCATCTCTTCCTATTATTACCACTTACTATGTGTGCTCAATTGTGTCTTAATCTTTGTGACCCTATGGATTGTAGCCCATCAGGCTCCTCTGTCCATGGAATTTTCCAGGCAGGAATATTGGAGTGGGTTGTCATTTCCTACACTGTTAGAAAAGAAGCACTTCTTATGACCCAGCCTTCTCCCATGAATCCCTTGTGAAAACAACTTTGGTTCTTTGTGCTTTCATTACTGTCTCCTTGGGGCTTGGCCAGCGGTGAACAGGACTTGAGAGAAACACTGCCGTTCTTTCCACCCTCTGTTCTCCAGTACGGGCAAGGGCTCCTTCTCCCTGCCAAAACACCTTCCTGCAAATCAGCTAATTCAAATCAACAGCGGCTGAATCTTTAGCAGGAACACAGTATAGGTACAAACTGGGTCCCTCTTACTCTTAGGAACAGACAAGGTGTTTTAATAAAAAATGTTAAGAATTTATATTTTTATTATATTTTCATTCTGAAATATAAGTAGAATCCTCTACTGCATGGCTAATGAATGACTCTTGAGCACAAAACACTAATGAAAAAGTTAATTTTTTGTGACTTTACTTTACTATTGGCTAAATTACCAAATTTGCCAGCATGTGGATTAAGTTTCTCAAGATTCACAAAAGAGAAATTTTATTTTGGTGCAATTTCTTGTTGTTGTTGTCTTTCAGTTGCTGTCCAAGTGAAAAGCAGAACACAAATAACATCACAGATTCTGTCAGGTATAATCCTAAACCATTTTTTGAAGTAAATGTTAATTTCCTAGGAGAGCCTTTGCTTGGTCTATTTTGCCTGTAATGCCCATAACTGAAGAAGGCAATGGCACCCCACTCCAGTACTCTTGCCTGGAAAATCCCATGGACGGAGGAGCCTGGTGGGCTGCAGTCCATGGGGTCGCAGAGTCGGACACGACTGAGCGGCTTCACTTTTACTTTTCACTTTCATGCGTTGGAGAAGAAAATGGCAACCCACTCCAGTGGTCTTGCCTGGAGAATCCCAGGGACTGGGTTGCCTGGTGGGCTGCCATCTATGGGGTTGCACAGAGTCAGACACAACTGAAGCAGCTTAGCAGCAGCAGCAGGAATACGCATAATGGGAAAGGTAAAAGAGTGAAACACCCCATCTTTTTTAAGATGTTCTACTTCTGTAGACTTTAGATATACATTTGACAGAAATTATTTGTAAAAAGACACAGTAGCAGTGAACAAAACTGCATCCATGATCAGAAACTATGTGAGATATAGAATACAGTTGTAATTATCACTCATGGTTTTGGGGACAGTTTCCCAAAACAGGCTTAACCTTCCAAAGATTTTGAATTGTGTCTATTATAAATAAACTAACTTTTAGAAATCCAAGTGACAGAATGCTTGGCTTCATCAGTAAAACTTGGAACCCAAAATGGACCACTAATGAAACTGATAACCATTCATTTACAACATGTCTTGGTTCATGGATTAGCTGAATTATAGCAAAACTGGCAGTAAACCAGGTTCTTCAAAGTACACTATACCTTCCAATTAATAACAAAAATAAAAGGAACACAGGAGCCATTTGGGACAATCGGTAATAGCCTGAACTTTAAACTGTTAGGTAAGGAAATAATTTTATGACTGAAAAAGCCAGGTACTCTAGAGCAATGTGTATTTCTTTTATAGTTTGTTCTCAATTTCAGTATTTCCTTTCTCCTCTTCTTTTCTTACCTCTTGCCCTTCAAGACCTACAAATTATTTCCTCACCAAGAGATTTCTTGAATCCTATGTTTCTGCTCTAAGAACATTGCTTTCTTTTTCGAATCTGTGCATTACCATATCTGATTATGGATTAAATCATAAGTGGTTTAGAATATAACATTTTATCAATAAACATTCCTTTCAATGTCATTCTTCCTTGAACACTGAGTTTGAGACTTCGGGTATGTAAAACAAACTAGTTCTTCCTGTGACCTGGGCTACATGGTTGAATCTGTACTGAGTGTGCTAAAAAAACAAGACATCTGTGTTCACATTTATTTTTACAGTATTTACAATATTTTCAGTTAACAAGAAAATATTGTTAACTGAAGGGATTGGATGAATGTAAGCATTAAGAGTCCCAATCTAGAGGCAGACAGACCTCAGTTCCGGGCTTAGCTCTGCCACTTTTTAAAAAATTATTATTAATTGGAGGCTAATTACTTTACAATATTGTAGTGGTTTTTGCCATACGTCGATATGAATCAGCCATGGATTTACATGTGTTCCCCATCCTGAACCCCCTTCCCACCTCCCTCCCCATCCCATCCCTCTGGGTCATCCCAGTGACCAGCCCCGAGCACTTGTCTCATGCATCCAACCTGGACTGGAGATCTGTTTCACACTTGATAATATACATGTTTCGATGTTGTTCTCTCAGATCATCCCACCCTCGCCTTCTCCCACAGAGTCCAAAAGTCTGTTCTATACATCTGTGTCTCTTTTTCTGTCTTGCATATAGGGTTATCGTTACCATCTTTCTAAATTCCATATATATGCGTTAGTATACTGTATTGGTGTTTATCATTCTGGCTTACTTCACTCTGTATAATGGGCTCCAGTTTCATCCATCTCATTAGAACTGATTCAAATGTATACTTTTTAATGGCTGAGTAATATTCCATGGTGTATATGTACCACAGCTTTCTTATCCATTCGTCTGCTGATGGGCACCTAGGTTGCTTCCATGTCCTGGCTATTATAAACAGTGCTGCGATGAACATTGGGGTGCACGTGTCTCTTTCAGACCTGGTTTCCTTGGTGTGTATGCCCAGGAGTGGGATTGCTGGGTCATATGGCAGCTCTATTTCCAGCTTTTTAAGGAATCTCCACACTGTTCTCCATAGTGCTCTGCCACCTTTTTTACTCAATCTCCTGAAAATAGCAGTAGCACCTTCCTCTTTGGTTTACTAGAGGAGATTAATAAGGTATAATAATATAAGGATATTTAGGATATCATCTAGCATATGACAAGAGCTCAATTAATATTAGGTATTAGCAAAAGGTAGGAATAATAATTGAATAGAAAGCAAAAATATACAGCCCTGTATTAAATATCAAGATGATATATTGTATTGATTATGAGTCAAATATGAGTGAAAATACAGTTGACTTTATTCCAACTTTATGTTAAATGAACTGTAATCAAAATTCTTTGATTTGTTTTGCTAAAGTTTTATTTAATTCAGGAAAAGCTCAACATTAGGTACATTTGTTAGAAGTTTATCTTCTCTATTATTTATAATACACTTAATTGGAACCACAATAAATGATTAATTAGGGTAATTGTCAGTGATGCAATGCTTTATCTTGTATCAAACCCTATTCAAAGGCTTTGGGGTTTCAGAAAACTCGAATCCTTAGTTTTGGCTATCTGCAATCATTCACTGTTTTTTTTTTATAAGAATGTCCTTGACAACATTCTCTTAGCATGTGTGTGTGTGTTAGTTGCTCAATTGTGTCCAACTCTTTGCAACCCCACAGACTTGTAGCCCACCAGGCTCCTTTGTGCATGGAATTCTCTAGGCAAGAATACTGGAGTGGGTTGCCATTCCCTTCTCCAGAGGATCCTTCCAACTCAGGGATCGAACTCTTGTCTCCTGCGTAGCAGGCAGATTCCTTACCATCTGAGCTATCAGGGAAGCCCCTTTTTCTCTTAGCTTAATCCTCCTGTTTCTTTTCTGCTTCTCAGTTTTGAAAAATGAATTAATGAACCACTGAGTTGAGCTTTTAAAATCCTCTAAGCAGAGATTCTCAGTTGGCCAAAGGCAATTATGAGAACATATGTTGTATGTGTGAATGTGCATGTTGTTGTTTAGTCACTAAGTTGTGCCCAACTTTTTGCAACATCATGGACTGCAGCACGCCAGGTTTTTCTGTCTATGTGTGTGGATTTATGCATATATGCATAGGTATGTTGTTTTTATTCAGTTTTATAATTTTATATTTGAAGAAATAATCCTTTGGCATATAAGTCTTTTAAAACACAATCTTTCAAAATCTTCTGAACTGGTGAGGTGTGGGTTTTAAAAAGTTGAGAAAAACTAATATATCAAGCCAATTTATTATCAACACAGAACTATTAGAAATAAAATATACTATAGCTGGACTATTTATTTACTTTTGAGAGGTTCTAATATTAGAATATTAGAGCTCTAATTGATATGTACCAGTCAAATTATTTTCAAGCTAATATAATTTTGAAAGTCATACAACCTAAAGTTGAATATTCAACTCGCAGAAATTTCATGTAATTTCAACAACAAACTTTTAAGTCAGTACAATGGAGCAATTAGCATCTTCTCTCTAGAGGAGGGAGTTTATAGTTCTGGGTGATGAGGATTGCTAAGGGAGTGATACTTACCTAATCATGACTTGTATATTTCAGAGATTGAAAATAAGGAAGTGTGGGCATCAGTGTTTCATGACCTGATATCTAATTAGAAGCAAAAAGGAAAAAGAAGCACTTTTGAGAAGTGATGTTCACTGCCAACTTCCTGGTTTATTCTTCAAACAAGGAACATTTAGACCTCTCTGAAATGTTCTGGCATGATGCTAGAAAAACATCCCGTATGCAGCAGGTGCTGCTGCCCTGCCCATCTATTTTTATGGTTGCTGGTACAAAATATCATAGTTATTCCTCAAACATTATGGGACTCCTAATTAATAATGACACTAATTTGCAAAAATAACTCTATAAAGAACTTCCAAATATCTTAAATAAGCCCCTGTTTTAGTAGTTATGTAATTGCTAATATATATATATATATTTGGCCTCTCTTTGAAGAGTTTGTATTAACAATTTTATATACTTGAGCCCACTTTTATAGATTCTAATCATATAAATATACATTTCTAGACTGTGCCATATGTTATGTCTTTCCATTCAAGGGAATATTGCATACAAAAATTATGTCATTTGAGGTATTAGCCATTTCACATAATTTTTTACATTTTTCCCTTGTTGAAATAGCAGAGTAAATGGCCCAAGTTCTGGTTTTTACTTAGCAAATATTGTCTTTTTTTTTTTTTTTTTTGGCTAGGTATTTTGCTTCTTTACAAGTCCTGAGAGTCTAGCTCCTCCATATCTAATCATCTCCATTGCTAATATCTCAGTTAAGACCTCTTGCCTGAGTTATGGCACTATATCTCACCTAGGCCATTCTGCATTTAGTAATTCATCTACAGTCCATATTCTTCCACATTGTTTGAATATTATTCTGAATACAAATATGATGCCATTACCTTCACACATTTGCTCAAAGCCTTACAATGACTCCCCATTGTTTTGCAGTTAGAAGTCCAAATTCATCCTTTTTTCCATCTCCAAGTCTTATTTCTTGAAAGCTCTCAACGTGCAACTGTGCTTCAACCACACTCAAACATGGTATTCTATTGTTCCCTGTATTTGTACACTCTGTTCTCTCTGCTTGGAGGTCCTTTCATTTTTCTCCAGTACCTCCCACTATAGGCATATCTTTCTCCTAGAAGCCCTCTGGGATCCACCAAGTAGAGATAACTATCTTACCTCCACTTTACCTAGTGCATACCTTTATATGAGTGTATAAGCTTTTTTAAAACATAATTCACATATCATACAGTTTACCTATTTAATGTGCACAAAACTGCAGTTTTCAGTATATTCACGGAGTTGTAAAACCATCATCACAATTAACTTTAGAACATTTTCATTACCTCCCCAAATATCCAGTTTCCCTTAGCAGTCTCACCTCCCTCCTATACAACTACTAGCCTACTTTCTGTCTCCAAAGATTTGCCTATTCTGGACATTTCAGATAAACAGAATAATACAATATGTAAATTTGTGTGACTGGCTTGTTTCATTTAACATAATGTTTTTAAAGTTCATCCATGTGTATATCATGTATCAATTCATCATCCCTTTATATTGCTGAATAATATTCCATTGTATGGATATACCACATTTTGTTTATCCATCATTTGATGGACATTTGGAGTATTTTCATTTTTTTGTCTACTAATAATAACATTGTTAAGAATTTTCATGTGCAAGTTTTTTTATAGATGTATATATTTATTTTTCTTGGATAAATATCGAGAAGTGGATTTTATTGGGAATATGGCATCTCTATGTTTAACCTTTTAAAGAACTGCCAGACTGTTTTCCAAAGCGACTAGTTAGAGTTGAAAGTGAAAGTCGCTCAGTCGTGTCTGACTCTTCGGGACCCCATGGACTATACAGCCCATGGAAGTCTCCAGGCCAGAATACTGGAGTAGGTAGACTTTTCCTTCTCCATGGGATCTTCCCAACCCAGGGACTGAACCCAGGTCTCCTGCACTGCAGGCGGATTCTTTACCAGCTGAGCCACAAGGGAACCCCAAAGTTAGAGTTATTAAAGGTTAAATAGAGTTACCCTGCAAACCATTTTACAGTTCTACTAGGAGTGTATGAAGATTACAGTTTCTCCACATTTTTGACAAAACTGTTTTTTTTTTTTTTTAATCTCTAGACATCCTAATAGGTGAGTGGTCATATCTCACTGTGGTTTCTATGGGTATTTCCGAGGTTCAAACCCTGGGTTGGGAAGATCCCTTAGAGGAGGAAATGGCAACCCACTCCAGTATTCTTGTCTGGAGAATTTCATGGACCGAGGAGCCTGGCAGGGGTTGTAGAGAGTCAGACACGACTGAGAGACTAGCACCTTCCCTGAATGACACCGAGTCTCTTTTCATGTGCTTATCATCCATTTGCATATCTTCTTTGGAAAAATGTCTCATCTATTTACCACTTTTAAAAATCAAGCCATTTCTCTTTTGTTTATATATCCTAGATATGAGTCCTTTATCATATGTATGATTTGAAAACCTTTCCTCCTATTCTGTGTGCTGTCTTTTCACTTTCTTGATAGTGTCTTTGAAGCACAAAAGTTTTTCATTTGAATGAAGTCCAACTGATCTATCTTTTTCTTCTATTGCTTGTGTTCTGGTGTCATATCAAAGAAACCGCTGTCTAAACCAAAGTCATGAAGATTTACTCTTATGTTGTCTCCCAAGAGTTTCATGGTTTAAGCTATTACATTTAGATCTGTACGGATACTGAGAGTTTTAATTTTAATATATAATGTGAGGTCGGGGTCCAACTTCATTGATTTTCATGTGGATACAGTATATACTTTTAATATTTTTTTCAAAATAGTATATGCCTTTAGAACGACACAAAGAGAAGAACAGGCCTTATTTACCACAGTATACCTAGCTCAATGCTTGGCATCTAACAGATATTCAAAATATACTTGTTAAATGGAACTTGTGTTTAATCGCTCAGTCATGTCTGACTCTTTGCAATCCCATGAACTGTAGCCTGCCAGGCTCCTCTGTCCATGGGGATTCTCCAGGCAAGAATACTGGAGTGAGGGTGTTCTCGCTGCTCTGCACCTCAGTGCCTGATTGTCCTGCTGCTGCTTCAGGAGGTCCTGCTCCAGCTGGCCCAGCAGAACACGCAGCCGCTTGGCCTCGGCCATACCCTGCTGCTGCTTATGGCACTTCTCTGTCAGCATGAGGATGACCTGCAGTGTGGGCAGGAGGCCATGCTCTGGGCCCCACCGCAGGCCCTCAGCCAGCCCTGCATCCCCCAGAGAGGCCGGCCAGGGCCCTGGGAGCCCAGCACCCACTGGACTCACCTCAGGGCCACTGCGCACCCATTAAGTCGCCTGTGCGGGTAGGGGCCCCGGGGCTGGGTTCCCATTCAACCTGTGATGGGGGCTCCAAGTCAAATACAAACCAGCGATGGGGGCCAGAGCCCTCCCAATAAGGGCCCCATCGCCTCACGGCTGCCTCCGCCATGCTCTGACCCCGGGTCCATCGTTGCAGGGACCATATTTGCCCTGAGGACAGGGCCCTAGGTTTCCTTCCTGCTCTCCGTGCCAAGCCTCCCGGGGTGAGGGCCGGGAGTGCGTACCTTCTGGTGGCCCCGGTTGTTCCTGGCCATGAGCTTCTGGGAGTTCTCCAGCAGCTCCAGCTGTTTGCACAGGTCGTCCTGGTGGCCCCGGAGCTGCTCGTTCTCCGCCAGCATGCTGCGTGCCCTGCCGTGTAATCTTGGCCAGCTGCAGGGTCACCGCATTGTTCTCTGTGATGGCCCACTTGGTCGTGTCCCACATCTGGCTCGTGGCCACCTTGCAGAACTCCGTGGCCACCATGTTCACACACTGGATGATCTCCTTTCTCAGTCTAGGCAGGATGGGTGGGGGTGAGGTGGGGTTCAGACAGAGGGGGTTCCCTAGAGCACCTAGACCTCTCTGCTCTGTCCCCCACAGGAGGGGCCAGGGCCACCAGCAGGAGCTCTTTATTGTAGACCCTTTGTAGTATTTTGAACCATGTCCGTGTATGATGAACCATTAAATATAATTTAAAGTCGCAAAAAAAAAAAAGAATACTGGAGTGGGTTGCTATGCCCTCTTCCAGGGGCTCTTCCCAACCCAGGGATTGAACCCAGGTCTCCCACATTGCAGGCAGATCCCTTACAGTCTGAGCCACCAGAAAAGCCCAAGAATACTGGAGTGGGTAGCCTAGCCCTTCTCCAGGGGATCTTCCAGACCCAGGCATCGAACTGGGGTCTCCTGCATTGCAGGAGGATTCTTTACCAGCTGATCTACCAGGGAAGCCCAAATGGAACTAAACTGGATGGTAAATATAGACATTTTTTTAAATTAAAAAACAATAAATTATTTTGATCGAAGCATGCATTATTACTTGATAGCTATATTTTATGAGGATATGCCCATTTTTTAAAAACCCAGGTCAAATTATTCATTGTATTCTGCAAGCCATGCATTTAATAAAAAAGCATATGTTGTTGGTTGATGAGAAAAGGACATTAAACACTTGATAAAGGTTGTGAGTCAGAACAGGATCAAAAGTTGTTCAGGAACTTGCTGCAGATGATTCCTAGGATACTGCTGCATCAGACATGTTAATTTTACAGTCAGAACCATAGTACTTTTTACTGGGGAGGGTGAATAGTTTTGGAGGCAAGAGTGACTATATTAAAATTTAGAAACTAATTTGTATTTTATTGTGTGCAAGCATGTGCATGTTCAGTCATGACCAACTCTTTGTGACCCCAAGGACTGTAGTTTGCCAAGCTCCTCTGTCCATGGGATTTTCTAGGCAAGAATACTGAAGTGGATTGCCATTTCCTACTCCACGGGATGTTCCTGGCCCAGGGATTGGACTCACATCTCCTGTGACTCCTAAATTGGAAGCCAGAATCTTTACTACTGAGCCACCTGGGAAGCCCTCCCTATTTGCTAATTGGAAGTATTCACCTATTGAAGGAACTTGTAAATATACCGTATGGAACATTATAAAAATAGCATAACTCTTCTTATTATTACTTGAACAACTCAACTGCTCTTAAGAAAACAATTGTATACATATACTTTATGTGCAAAGATATGTCCATTTTAGATGGGCATAAAAAGATTCCCAAACTGGGTTAAATCTATAATCCACCTAGACAAATTTCATTTACTTTCAAAGGAACAAGAGCTATGTTATAAAGTGTTTAATTCTTCATAGTTTTGGCATCAGTGATAAGAAATATACTGCCAAATAGCAATTTTTATATAATTTTTAACTTAATGTAGCAGATTATATTTTCTAAATATGGGTCCAAGAATATCTTCTATTCCATACACTCTTCTAAAACCTTGTTACCTCCCCATTAAGAGCTGGAATATATATTATTTCCCCTTGCAATTGGTTGAAACTTTATGACTATTTCAAACACTAGACTGTAGTAGAAATGTTGATTGTTACTTTCAAGGTTAGAACATAAAAATGTTATGCATGTCATTCTGGTTCTTTCAAGATGTTTGGTTTTGGAACCCAGCCACCACCCTGTAAGGAAGGCCAAACATCTTGGAAGAAGAGATCTATGAGAAAAACAGAAGCTTCTGGCTGAACTGCCAGCCAATGAACAGCACCAAAGTGCCAAGTATGTGAACAAGTTATCATGAATTTTGGATTCTCCAGTTGCCAGGAAAGTCATCCCAGATGATGCCATGTAGAGTTGAGACAGTTGTCCCTGCTAAATCATGCCCACATTTCAAATTAATGAACAAAATAAATGGTGGTTTTTACATTAAGCCACTAAATTTGGGGGATAATCTGTATATCAACAGGAAACGACTACTAATTTGGGTACCTAAAAAAGGGATGTTGCCATAACAAAACCTTCCATATGTGGGTACCTAAAAAAGGGATGTTGCCATAACAAAACCTTCCATATGTGACACTGGTTTTGGAATTGGACTGTATGGAGAAGTTGTAATGGTGTTGAGGAGACTGTTAGTGAAACCAAAGGGGTCTTAGGGAGATAGGTTGTGGAAGACATACAAAGCCTTGAGGAAACTGTCAGCAAAGTCATTAAAAAGGAGAGGAAAATAATTATTGGAAGTTGAAGGAATGGAAACTTTTGTGATGTCAGAGTCTGCCAACATCAGTTCAATTCAGTTCAGTCACTCAGTCGAGTCCAACTCTTTGTGACCCCATGAATCGCAGAATGCCAGTCCTCCCTGTCCATCACCAACTCCCGGAGTTTACTCAAACTCATGTCTGTCGAGTTGGTGATGCTATCCAACCATCTCATCCTCTGTCATCCCCTTCTCCTGCTGCCTCCAATCCCTCCCAGCATCCACATCATTTCCAATGAGTCAACTCTTTGCATGAGGTAGCCAAAGAACTGGAGTTTCAGCTTCATTCATCAGTCCTTCCAATGAACACCCAGGACTGATCTCCTTTAGGATGGACTGGCTGGATCTCCTTGCAGGCTAAGGGGCTCTCAAGAGTCTTCTTCAACACCACAGTTCAAAAGTATCAATTCTTCGGTGCTCAGCTTTCTTCACAGTCCAACCCTCACATCCATACATGACCACTGGAAAAATCATAACCTTGACTAGACAGATCTTTGTTGGCAAAGTAATGTCTCTGCTTTTTAATATGCTATCCAGTTTGGTCATAACTTTCCTTCCAAGGAGTAAGCATCTTTTAATTTCATGGCTGCAATCACCATCTGCAGTGATTTTGGAACCCAGAAAAATAAAGTCTGACACTGTTTCCACTGTTTCCCCATCTATTTCCCATGAAGTGATGGGAACAGATGCAATGATCTTAGTTTTCTGAATGTTGAACTTAAAGCCAACTTTTTCACTTTCCTCTTTCACTTTCATCAAGAGGCTTTTTAGTTCCTCTTCACTTTCTGCCATAAGGGTGGTGACATCTGCATATCTGAGGTTATTGATATTTCTCCCGGCAATCTTGATTCCAGCTTGTGCTTCTTCCAGCCCAGCATTTCTCATGATGTACTCTGCATATAAGTTAAATAAGCAGGGTGACAATATACAGCCTTGACAAACTCCTTTTCCTATTTGGAACCGGTCTGTTGTTCCATGTCCAGTTCTAACTGTTGCTTCCTGACCTGCATACAGGTTTCTCAAGAGGCGGGTCAGGTGGTCTGGTACTCTCATCTTGTTCAGAATTTTCCACAGTTTATTGTGATCCACACAGTCAAAGGCTTTGGCATAGTCAATAAAGCAGAAATAGATGTTTTTCTTGAACTCTCTTGCTTTTTTGTTGATCCAGCGGATGTTGGCAATTTGATCTCTGTTTCCTCTGCCTTTTCTAAAACCAGCTTGAACATCTGGAAGTTCTCGGTTCATGTATTGCTGAAGCCTGGCTTGGAGAATTTTGAGCATTACTTTAGTAGTGTGTGAGATGAGTGCAATCGTGCAGCAGTTTGAGCATTCTTTGGCATTGCCTTTCTTTGGGATTGGAATGAAAACTGACCTTTTCCAGTCCTGTGGCCACTGCTGAGGACTAAATTTCCAAAATTTATGGCATATTAAGTGCATCACTTTCACAGCATCATCTTTCAGGATTTGAAATAGTTCAACTGGAATTCCATCACCTCAATAGTTGTCTGAAATAATGTGGCAAAGAGAAGAATGTACCTAATAAACTAAATGACCTAGCTAAGGAGAGTTCTAGGAATAATATTCAAAATGCCACCTGGTTTTTTTTTTTTTTTTCATTGTCTAAGATGAAACTTGAGGAGGACAGAGAAGTTATCTAAAGAATAAACTATTAAATATAAAAGAACCCAAACTTGCTGAGTTTGAAATAAAAGCATTTTACATACCCAAAATCTGTAAAACAATTACTCAATTTTAAAAAATGGCACTGGGAAAGATTGAAATGAAGATGAATCTGTAAGATCTTTGTTAATACCTCAGAAGAATTTAAGACAGTTGTTCATAAACCATTTCAACAAAGGAAAGTTCCTTAAGGAATCTTAATATCTACCTGGCTGCATCATTTCTGTTTAATAATCAGACTTCTAAGATTCTCAAGTGTATTTTCCCACAGGAGTCTCAAAAGAAGCCTTACTATGTAAGGGTTTATCTTAAGAGTTTTGTGGATATGAATTTTTCTAATGGAGCTGGTTATAAATTGATACATAAGAAGCTCACAAGGTTTTTTTTTTAAGAATTGTATCGCTTAGACTGAAAGAAAGAGATATAATATAAAATGAAGAGGGCCTTGGATCCCCAAATCCTCCCAAAAGGAGGCAGCCCTTGTCAGCTCACACTACCTTTGTTCTGGATCAGATTATTTATTGCCTCACTTGATTAAAGAATTTTCTTTCACGTGTCTTAAATTTTCATGTTTCTGGTTTTGAAGGGCATTTTCTTATTTCTAATATTACTGGAATTGTAAAAACCAGAGGTCTCTAATCTACTAATTTGGTAAAGTTGTGAAAGTGTAAGTGTTAGTTGCTCAGTCATGTCCAGCTCTTTGTGACCCCATGGACTGTAGCCTGCCAGGCTCCTCTGTCCATGTAATTCTCCAGGCAAAAATACTGGAGTGGGTAGCCATTCTCTTCTCCAGGGATCTTCCCAACCCAAGGATCAAACACAAGTCTTCTACAGTGCAGGTAGATTCTTTACCATCTGAGCCACCAGGGAAGCCCTTAGTAAGTTTTAAGAGGTTTCAAATAAACTATCACACTGACTT